CCAACAACTGGTCTTGCCACACCACCAATTATAGGGGCAAAAATAGGCAAGCGGACAGGACGAGCCACATAAATGCCTCCAAAGTGCAGCATTATAAAGGAAGCAACAACAACAATAAATGATGCTTAATAGCAGTGGCAATGCACTGCAGTCTTGTTGTTGTTGCCAACAGAACAAAAAAAGTTATTAATGAAAATTACAATTCAATGCAAATTGCTGTGGCATGAACGATTGTGACACTGCTGCAACGAATATGCGCTCTGTCATTTGTAGGTGGCCACAGCTGGAGCAGCTAAGTGAGGGGCAGCAGCAATATGAAAGCGTGCGGCAGTTGCTTGCAAGTCAAATGCTGCGCTTGGAGGCGCTGAATGGGCAATGCACTGCATGTGGTAACAGTCAGCCGTTGCTAGGCTGCCTGCTGCATGCATTTTCACGCTCGAATTAAAGTAATTTCGCATTTGTCGCTGGCCGTTGCATTTGTTTCTGCAAGTTCGGGTGTTGCAACAGCGATTCGCCAACACCTCAACGTGGCAAGAAGGATTGATGGGCAGGAAGTCAGAGTTTGTATATTCAAATTTCTTTTTTATTATTGTTGTAGTGGTGGCCTTCAGTCGGCATTGAGGCAATTTGGCTATGCAGTGGAAAAATAAAAATTTTAAAGATGGAACAAAATGAAAGGAATTACCAAATAAAATTTCCCAGATATTTAAAAAAAAATATTTACAATTATAAACAAAAAAAAAAAATTTTAATTAAAAGCAAAAATTAAGTTTAATGATTTTTCTTAGAGTAACATTACATTAAAATTGGTTTCGTAAATTAAATGTCACAAAACAAATGTAACAAATTAATTAAATTAGAAAAAAATTCGTTAAAAGTAATATTTTAAAGCAATTTAATTAAAAAATTTAAAATTAAGTATAAAAATAAAATATCTTCAAATTAACAATATATTATAAAAAAAGTTTAAAAAAATTATAAACTTAGAAACAAAAGTGTATTAAAAAAATTCGACTTACATTCTATAAAATAAGAATTTTAAAGTAATTAATTCAAAAATATTTTCCATTAACGGAAATTAAATAAAAAATTATAAACATTATAAACATTAAAAAATTAATTTTAGATCAAATTCTAAAATCCCCGTAAAATTTTAATATAATCAACATAATTAGGTAAATTTTAATTCCAAAAAATTTCCCAATTAAAATTAAAAAATTATTTACTGTGCATACATTTTATATACAAATGTGTTTAAAATCCTGCTCAGGTATTTTAAATTATTTTACCAATTCAGTAGCAAAAAAAAAAAAAAAAAAAAAAAAAAAAAAAAAAAAAAAAAAAAAAAAAAAATAGCATTTTATTCCAAAAAAAAAAAAAAAAAAAAATGGCAACCCTTAACAATAATATGTCCCCCAA